GGACCGCGAGATCGTGACCTGGCTGAAGTCGGACGCTTAACCGACTGCGCCACCCAGGCGCCCCAAGAGATTCTTAAATATAGAGAACTGGGGGTTCCTGGAGGGGCAGTGGGTGGGGGATGGGCTAAATGGGTGATGGGCATGAAGGAGGGCACTTGTTGGTTCTACTCCTGCAACCAATACGACACTGTACGTTAACTAACTTGAATTCAAATAAATAAATTTAAAAAAAAAACAGCAAAAGCCACTGTCTCCCTGCATCTTCATACTCATGACTTAATTTGGATTAACTTACTCAACGCTGCAATTCGCAGAGGTACGAGTGACGGAAGGCTTTTGTAACAAGGCAGCTTTGTTAAAGCGGAGTCCTCAGCCTCACATAAATTTAATAGCTGTAAAAGATACAATAATTTTAGCCTGCTCTTCCTGTCAAGACACAATAACCTTGAAAATAACAGAACACAGCAATCTCACACACACACACCACAATCAATGAACTAAATTCAAATCCTAGAGAATTTAATACCAAATGGGACTGAGTTTCCTTCTAAAGCAAACTCAGTCAGCCTCAGTAGTGAAATGAGACATTTTCTCACCCACTCTGATACCGTAACCTTTTTTCTCTACACAGGGGACCACGTGAACTGCAGATATCATGGTGGCAGGTACATCTTCCTCCTTATTCAGAGCTGCTTCCCCATGCCTCGGGCCAGTGCTCGACAATCGTGTGTGCTCTATAATTCAGCATTTCAGTGGTGATACTTGTTTGCCCCCCCGCCAAGTACAGAAAAGTGCATAAAGAAAGAAGTTGAAAGTCACTGGGAATACCATTAGTCAGAGATTCCTGTAGCTATGTTTTATGTTTCTGGACATTTTATCACAAGCCAGTATATATTTATACGTCTAATACCTAAAATACCACATATGGGGTTCTACTACTATTTTCCCCTTCTATTTACATCTTAAAAAAACAGTATTAACTTTACCGTTTTTCCCTTGAAGATTCCTACCTAGTAAAAGATTTAAAACAGCAAAAAAAGGACAGAGAGTAGAAAGCACTTCAAGCCACCACCCTATTCCACTCCATCAGTACTACTCTCCTCATATAAAACACATGTGCGCACACACACATACAGACAACTGTATCTGTATCTACATCTAGACAGAGTGAGTTCCGAACATGACATGTACCAGAATCACCCGGGAAGCTGGGGGAAGCTTGCAGATGGTAGATTTGTAGGTCTGACCCCAAACTTCCAGGGAGAGGACTCCAGAGTCTCTATTTTTCAAAAGATCCTCACATGTTTTGATGCAGCTGGTACACTGATTAGCACTTGGGAAACCAGACACATTTCCTGAGATTTATCTCCCAGCACTACTTAAGGATCTGGTCTTAAGCCTCGGTGAGGAATTTTCCACATGGGTTAAAACACATCTACCTGGATCCACCAAAAGGAAACTTCCTCCCATCCTCTGGTGGCTCTCCTAGAACCTTGGACAGGTCATATGAGCATCGACTCTTACACAAGGGACGCAACAAGGTATAAAAGATCAAAGCTAGACCACGTGATCATACAATTGTACGTCCAAGCAAATACATAGGACTTAAAAACTCAAGAGGCAAATTTTTCATACCTGGAAATTCAAACTTAGTGTGGACTGAAAAAAACTTGCTTATGACCTTTGCATCAGTTTACTCTGAAAATGCCTCCAGAGTATGATTCAGGTCTTAAAAAAGATTAGTCTAGAGACTGATCCCCAGACGAACATCGTATTCTAAGAATTAACGCTTAGAATTTGACTGTATCTATAGTTCAATTTGTTTCTGTCTAATGTCACCCCATACTGGGATGTTTACAGAGACAAACACTTGTTAAGATGCCATCTGCCACTGCCCAAGATGAGGATCATCAGTATCTGTACTTCATGGAGTGCCATCAGGGTCAAATGAAGGCATTCCTGTGAAGTAGGTTCTCCACGGTGCATGGCACATTCTTAAGTGATGAACATATTCAATAAACCAGCCCTTGCTCTGAGCCAGTCTTGCTCTGGGCACCAGCTGATGACGGTGATCAGAGCAGATAGTACATCTTTCTCTAGATGACATCTTTAAGGCCCTGGACAGCAAGGTTCCTCGTAGAGGGCTCACACAGTTCTACGGACTCGGAAAACAGCCACACGTGGTTGAACATCTCTGGTCACCAGGCCTGTCACGTACGTACCTGTGCGGCGTGCTGGGCCAGGTTATGGCTGGTTACCTGTGGTCGCCACCTATGCCTTCTCTGAATGCTGCCTGACCAGTCTTTGCGCACAAAGACAGGCTACCAGACACACGTCATCACCATCCACACCACGCCGCACCACCACCCCCCTACCTCTGTGTAGAACACCTTATGTTCCACCACGTTAAGATCCATTGTGAAGAGCCTGGGCTGTAGCGTGGTACAGAACGTGTTCCCCTCCATCAGGCCAATCTGCGCATTGGCAGGCTGGTGTCTGAGCAAATGCTTCTTGGGTGGGACCATATCCTGGAGGACCTGGGAGAGGAAAGGAGGAAGCACTACTGACCAGTTGTCCCTAAAAAGCAAATACTGCTCCTCACAGTACTCGAAAATAATTACCAATTTGAGAACCACGAGATAAAAAGTTATCACGAACGTCCTTTAGTTAGGGAACGGAGGGGGGGTTCCGTGCACGAACACCGGATCATAGATAGTTACGTGTCAAATACGTTTACCTCCTGAGTCTCTAGAGTCACCGCTCTTAAAACAAGAGTGACCGGACTGTACTACAGAGACCCAGGAAATGGGCCCTCTGTTCTCCTGACACTGACAACTACGACTATAGCCACTGATACAAGCACGCCGCTTTCTGCCTGAGATCAGAGAGAGCACGTCCAGTAGCACTCTGTGAGGTGGACCCACAATTCCCAGTCATTCATCACCTTCAAGTCAGATTTGAAGGAAAACTGCCTCAAAAGTTTTGCTCAAATGATCCTAATTCCAGTGGCAGAAATCTCACCTCTTTATGGGGCTCCATGATCACTGTCACACTTTTCCCAGTGACCTGGGCTAAGACCTGCAGGGAATGCATGGCCTGTTTTCTCACAGTGGAATTTGGAGAGGTGACTTCTCGAACCAAGTCATGTGTCACGTGGTGAAAGGACTTCTCCTGAGCTGCCACGATCTCTTCGGCTCTCTCTTCATCTTTTAAAGGTGTCGCACACCTCATCAGAAGCTGCTCCAAGGTGGTCTTTGCCATGGCAACCGCCCCGTTGGAAACCTGCAGGCCAGGGACTCCTCAGAACGAAAAGGGCTGTGGCTGAGCGCCTGCACCCCTTGCACCAGCTAATTTAACAACCCCCGTTCAGTACTTCAGGAGCCAAGTCGCCTTCCTACAATTTCCATAGGTCACTCAGAAAAGAAAATGCAGATCTGGACACACTCCTTATATTTACGCGACAGACGAGCTGGCAATGCCCGCTGTACTCTATTTGTTCGAGTTACACCTGCACATAGGTTCCGAAAAATGCAGCTTCCACAGAAACTCCTGCAGCACCTGCACTATTTAGCTCTACGGCAAGAGTGAGAAGTATTGTTTCCCTTTACAGAGAGATGTGCCGTGTTATGTACTCTGGCCTGTGACCATTCCTTAGCAAGGCAGACAGATATTTAGACAACCAGGGAGAGCCTATGGTGGTTCTGACCTGTCTTTTTTAGTCAAGATGCCATACCGAAATCTGAGCTGCTAGGAGAGCCCATTTCCAGAACTGCTTCATACTAACTATTCTCCAGGCAAATCAGTTTCTGGAACAGCTTGGTTAGGTTTGGGACCACCCATTACCTACCTCTCCAGTCAAGTCCATCATGACAAAGAGAAGCGCTTTGAGGAACGTCTGCTGGTTCTGGAGAACCCAAGTGAGAGGCAGCCGCTCCATGAGAAATTTAATGGACACCACACCCCCCAGCTTTGCATACCAGGCCTGCTCATAGCAACACGCACACAAGCGTTCTACGATGTAAGAAAACAGAGGCAGCTGGCACGCCTGGGGAGAAAAACAGAAGCACAAACTATCATGTTACTGCAACTCTTAAACCACCAGTTTCCAGGCTACCCGCAGGCACAAACACCCCCAAAAGAGCAGATGCTTCTCAGTCTTTCCTTACCCTCTCCTTTGAGCCCAGGATGATACTGGCAACATCAAATATCACAGCTAGTGCCACCTCTCCAATCTTGCAAAGCTCCTTTTCCTCGTATGCCATGCAAATGGCTATTGCATCAATTAGGACCAAGGGATCCATTCCTTTGGACCCATTTTCTTCACTGTGGAACATGGCTGTGCTGGGCTGGCTGCCCACCTGGTAGCAAGGAAGCAGGAAAGGACCTGAAAGAGAGGCAGCAGGCATGGGAGAAAGTCAAGGTTATTTCCATGGACGTTCTTGTCCCTCAAATGGCAAAACTACCTCATTTTTTAATTTTTTTTTAACATTTTATTTATTTTTGAGACAGGGAGAGACAGAGCATGAACAGGGGAGGGTCAGAGAGAGGGAGACACAGAATCGGAAACAGGCTCCAGGCTCTGAGCTGTCAGCACAGAGCCCGACGCAGGGCTCAAACTCACGAACTGTGAGATCATGACCTGAGCCAAAGTTGGACGCTTAACCGACTGAGCCACCCAGGCGCCCCAAAACTACCTCATTTTTAAAACACTTAAGTTTATTTATTTTTAGGGAGAGAGTGAGAGTGAGCGTGCGCCTGTGCAAGCAGGGAAGGGGCAGAGAGAGAGGGAAAGAGAGGATCCCAAGCGGGCTCTGCACTGTCAGCGCAGAGCCCCATGCCGGGTTCGAGCTCATGACAGCGAGATCATGACCTGAGCTAAGATCATGAGTCGGATGCTTAACCGACCGAGCCACCCAGGCGCCCCTAAAACTTTTTTAAGTTTATGTTTTTAGTAGTCTCTGCACCCAACATGGGGCTCAAACGCATGAGACTGAGGATCAAGACTTGCATACTCTACCAACTCCAATAGCCAGGCACCCCTAAACTACCTCGTTTTCAAACTAGAGGTCAGGAGCTCAATAAAAGCCCACGCTGGTACTTTTTTTTTCCTTTATGAAAAAACTTTTTAATTAATAACTTACTTATTTTTAAGTTTTCATCCAAATTAGTTAGCATATAGTGCAACAATGATTTCAG